CCCAGGGCTGCAGTTCAAGGGGAATAAACTTCCTTTACTTCAAACTCCCTCGTGTGGCATGTCAGGATTTCTCAATGTTAACATTCATGCCAAGTGCATTATCGCTTAGCAGTGAGACTTCTGATCCTGCTGGGGCCAATGATTTTAATCTGGACACCAACAGGCCTGGGCTTCCTGGCTACTAACACTTTTAAAACATCAATAATGCTCACTTTATGTTTATGGAGTAGTTTCAGCTCACCCTTTTCCATTATCAACGAGGACTGGCACATTCCTGACATGGTTGGGACCATTTTCTTATTTCAGACTTTTGTGACTAAAAGGGAATTTGAGGGTCATTTGGCCTGAAGTCAGTTCTGGTCTCAAATTTGCCCCACCTTCCCTTATCAGTATTTCTGTAGACACAGGAAGAAGGCCTTTTTTTTTTTTTTTTTTTGGTCTAGGATGGTTTTAAAATGCATGTATATTTTTGAGTATTATTTTAAATATGATACTGAAATACATGTTTAACGATGGTCTGTTTTTAATTTGTCTTTAATTAAATGTTGTTCTATCATCTTGGACCAGGAAGGCTGGATTTTGTAAATGCTCTTGTCCATTGGACTTTATGCAGCTTTTCTACTTCATGTAATACGCTGTGTGTGTATTACTTCTACCTGGGGGTTGCTATAGCCTAGTTTTTATTCAAATTACAGCACAGGGAAAGGTCAGTGTTGTTCTTTTATGCCCTTCCTAGAGTCACATAGGAGAAAAATGGATGTGTTTTGATGGTGATGTCCTATCTCAGTAGTTCTGCCCTGCAGAGTATACACTCGATGATCTTGACACTTAAAGCACAACCCACCGCTGCGTGGACCCTATGAATATGTTCAAGATGAGCTTCCTTCCTCAGCCTTGAAGAGAATACCTGTCTTCTCTTTCTTCAGCAATAGCAGAGCTTGCAGTAAACATGAACTTTAATCCATTCTCGCAAACTGTCTGTCTAGATGGAGGGTCAAGAGAGGCAAACTCCCTGTCCCAAACCATGGATGTAATGATGTTATCATTAGCCTGATTTACTGACAGCCCCTTTGTGGGCCAGTTCCTTCTCCAGTCTGAGTGGCTAACCACTGACAATAGGGGAGAAAATGCTAAATCATGACACTAATCTTGCTGAAGTAGATGGTAGTCATCATATTTAGGGTAAGTTATTTCAATGATTGGACAAGTTAACTCCAAGACACAAAATTACAAGTAAAATCCCCACTAGAATGAGAATAAAATGCCACCTCAGCTTCAAACTATATAGCACATTTTTGAAGGTGTGATTTACAAACCATCCAAAACGTTCCTCCTGAGATTCAAAGTTGGCAAGAACCAAAACGTCAGCTTTCGTCTTCCTTTTTTTCTGTTTTCTACTTTGCAACTCTCCTTGTTTCACCTGCCTTGAAATGGGAAATGTGAACCCTTTGATAAATGGCCTGAAAGCTGATCTGGTTTATCCCCCGCATCTTCCTTTAAGAACTTCAGGATTTTTCTATGAAATGCAATACAGTAAACTTCTCAACCAAAACACAAAGCAGAGGAAAGCAAAATTGAGGAGAGAATTATTTCCTTGTTGTTCAAGTCCTTAAGGTCCTTAAGGCTTAAAAAATAGCAAAGAAATTTTGTCATGCATTTATACACACAGAGAGCTCCCCCTTTAGGAAAGGCAAGAAAGATTAAGTAAAACACTGAGGATTATTTAAGGAACATGAACTCAGTTTCTGATATGACTTGACCTTTAAGTGTGCATTAATACTTTTCTTGCTGAGCTGATATAATCATCACAATTCCATTTGCACTTCAGCTCTGATTTGGAAAAAAATATGTCTCATGACAATGTAAGGCCAGTCTTCAAAGTTGCAAAATAATATAGTTGCTTTTGCAGTTGTCTATAGAGCTTACATATTACTGAATGCATGTGACACATGAAAGATTTTAGAACTCTGACCTGCTTTTTTGGACCTGATGTTCCTGGGCCCCTGCTAAGTCATGCCCACCTGTGAGCAGTAATACTTTTCAGATTTGCTGCACACATGATAATCAGTGGAAACTAATCTCTGAACCCAACATGCTTTTCTGTCTTGTTCTAGGATTAAAAGTTTCATTTTCTGGGCCTGACTCACTGTGTGTTGATATGGCCCTGTGCTCCATTCACAAGCAAGTTGTCTTACATTCTTCCAGTCAACTCAAACTTGTCAATAGGAAAGATGTGACAAGTGCCAAAGATTTTCAAAGGATGGGATGGTTAGAATATATTTCACCTCAGGCCTGCTATTGTGGGATTAAGGTCGAAACCTGAAGAAATGGGAAATTGAAGCTTACCACATAGTTCAGGGTAGTGAATTTGGTTGGGGCATGTTGAACGTGACAGCTAGGTGAAATCTGGTGGCTACATGATCTACATGTTGACACAGAACCAGCAGTTGGGGCACAGATGTCGTCTCTAGATACCAGTCTTATCACTGAGAGATGAGGTTGGTGAGCTAACAAAGGCCAATGTTTATGCAAAAATGGAAGCCTGAGGTTTCAGGCTTGTGCAACAACAGCTAAGTAAAGAATGCTGAAAGGACTGTGAGTCAGACGGGCTAAGATAAGTGCTCTCAGTAGTTCTGAACAAATCGGAAAATTCATTGGCACTGAAGGAAGTAAAGGAGGGGAGAGTCTAATAAGTACAAGAGAATAGGATGGAGAGAGTATTAGTCACAGTGGTATTTCAGGGATCCCTAGTAACCTTCAGAAGATCAAAATCAGTGCTTGGCACTGTCTGAATGGGCAGATGTGGGTTACAGTAGCAGGATAACTTGTGTTGAGCGCTGCACATGGGTCTCCATCCAGATGGCCCTGTGTGGACACTTTATGTTCCTCAATCATACAACCCTAATAATAACATTTGATGTAAATACCCCCTTATCTCACAGGTGAAGCCGATGAGACACCTTCAACACAGGTAGTTAAACAATTGCCCAATCTCATCACCAAATCAGTAGCAGAAGTGTCATTTGACCTGAGCATCTGTGCTCTTCACCACTGTAGTGCCGTAGGATGGCACCTGTGAAGGTGGATGCTGATGTTTATGACATACAGAGAATGAAGAGTCACTTTTTAAAAGAAAATGAACTCAATATGGGTGATGACTGGAAGACTGAAAAGGAAATGGTGATGAGTACCAGGATGGAGGGAAAGCAGAAGGTTGAGATGTGAGGGAGACTTGAAGTTAGAGATGAATTTGTGATGAGTTGGTCACATGGGTGTGCATATTAGCTCATTGGCGTCCTGTCTTCTTTGGCCATGAACCAAGGTTATGATGCCAAGTACAACAGAAAGGGATATTTGGCGATATTCTGGAAAAAAAAGACTTGAGGTAGTACTAGGAATTAGGAGGCGCCAACAAAAATGAGTTAGGGTTTGTGATTCATCCTCCACCCTAGGTATCTAGCCAAAGGGTGCACACACACTAATTCAAAGGGATATGTGCTCCCTGTGTTCATTGCAGCCCTATTTATACAGGCAATTTATAAAACAAACTAAGCACCCAATGACAGAGGAGTGGATTAAGAAGTTGTGGAATTTATTGCAAGGGAATATTACTCAGCTATAAAAGGTGCAAAGGCTTGCCATTTGCAACAACATAAATGGAATTGGAGGCAATGTTGTTAGCAAAATAATTCAGAAGAGGAAAGACAAATACTGGATGATTTCACTCATGTGGAATATCAAAAAAAAAAAAAAAAAGCAAAAGTAAACCAAAATAAACTCTAGAACTATGACTGTCAAATTGAGGTTGCCAGATTACTGGTAGAGGGTGAGAAGCAAAGGGGATGAGAGGCCAGTGGACTGTGGTGAGGACTCTGGGTGCCTCAGTGGTAGGTGTCGTGTGGTGACATACATCAGAGGAGGCAGGAACCTGTACCCCTAAACCCCACACAGTGCTGTAAACCTTTCTTACCTCAATACAAATATGGCAATTTAAAAAATTTCTTTTGGGGTGGGGGAGAAGGTAGCACATATTAAAATTTGTATCTGAATTATGTAGGCCATCAGCAACCTGGGCACAATGGCGCCCTCCCTAGACTGCCTGGGTTTACTCAACAAAGGGGATACCATGAGTGGGGCTGTCTTTTCATAAGAATGACGATCATCGATGTGTTTAGGATTAAAGGCAGCTCTGAAAAGTTGTGTACTGATAAACAGTGATAAGCAAATATACATGTTCTGTTCTTGACCCTTCTTTAATTCACAGGATTAGATAAATAAAGAGCTTTTTCATTGATTATGAACTAAACAAAGTATAGTTTCATTTCTATAGGTACTTTGACTCCCAGAACTCATTATATATATAAGTATATATCCACCACCAAGCCAGGTTAACACAGTCGAGCGACACTTCTGTTTAAGACAGGTGTCTTTATTAAGTAAACAAATAATTTTGCAAGTACAAGTACAAAAGCATAATGATCTAATTTTGCTAATTGTTCCACTCTGATAATTTGCATGTTTGTCAGCAGCAATATGAACAAATAGTTTGTATGTGTGCAACCTACTGTTAAAATAACAAAGCCCCTTTTGGGAGTAGCATTTCCTGAGGTGTGTCCATGGGTGCTCCTAGAGAGGACTCCAGCTCAGGAAGGTTCAGAAATGCCCACAGAAGACAATGAGATAATTTTGTCTCTGCAGGAGGTCTAGGATCCTGCATGCCGGCGCTCATGTCCATTGCGCTGGGCTTCAGGAGATGCAATGCTACAGGGAAACAGGTCTGGGCATATGGGCATTGAGGACCTATTCAGGGGATGCAGTCCAGAGCTGTTGGCCATATGGTGTCACCTCACGAGTCACTCCAATCTGCAGTCATCAAAGAGTCAAGAAAACAAATTAAGGCGGCATCTTCTCTGTGTGTCTCTGTCTTTCAATCTTCCCACTCTACTCTTTCTAGTTGCTTGTGGTAAACATGCAAACCTCTTTTCCTCCTTTTATCACAGGCATATTGACAGGCTGGCTGCCCTTCAGAAGCTCTGCCATAACCCTAACTGCTTGCACTCTGGCTGGCTGCACCGAGAGAACACAGACACTGAACATCTCTACTCCACAAGAAGGTAAAGTAATTTCAAAGGTCTTGACTTCCACATTTCAGTCATGAATAATAAAATAGGAGAAGAGCTAAATGCTGCAAGGCCATTTGCTGGAAAACCCGGCCTAATTTGATGACAAAGTGCATTGCCAGGCCATAATTGCTCCATTTTTTGGGGGGGTGCGAAAATGAATCAAACTCCATACCCTTTAATGACATGCATCTTTAATAGCTGTAATGCAGATTAATGGGCTTTTTAATTGCTGTTACATTGTTCATGCAAGAGCCTTGTCATTAATATGAAGCATCTGAAAGATTAATGAAAGCTTCCTCATTTTACTATGGCTCAGAAGTAAATCTAGAGACAGTCTGACTAAAAAGAATTGATTGTATGGCACAGTATGAAATTGAGAATCAAACGGTTGATTTCCATGGTCTCTTTTAACTGCTAAACATCAGCACAAGCAACAATTATTCCAGTATGACGGCCCCTCCAAAAGGCAACGTAGGCCTTATTCATCACTGCTCCGTGCCTTCTGACTTAGTCTCACTTTTGTTGAAATTGGGACTTACAAACTCTCAGCATAAATGACTGCCTGAGAAAACATTCAAGAGGGAGCCGGTGAGCTCAGAAGCTGTTCAGCACTCCTCAGTGAAAGATCTGCTCAACATCAGAATGCATCGCTTTGGAAATCGCAGCTCTCAAAACATGTGGCACACTGTTGCTTCCTATTTCTCTCTCCTCTGAAGGAGTTGCACATTTCTTACACTGTCAGGTGGGCAAGTCATTCAGGAAATGAAAAAGCTTGATCTTTAGGGGAAAAGAGACAGTCAGTCTCTCCCTTTCTCTCTTGGTGTCCATCTGTCTACCTTCCTTGATCTACCTCTTCCTCTCTCTCTTCTAAATCATTAGCAGAAGAGATGGAAGAGCAAGACATGCTCACGTGATGGAACCACAACAGGAAACGGATCTTGTGAAATTTTTCTTATGAGCCTTTGTTCTTTGTGTTTTGCAGCTGACCTAACCAGAACCCCTTACCTGGGTTACAGTCTTGAAGGTCCACGGTCAGGTTTACTCATTGTCCTCTTCAGCTCGTCCTGTGGAAATGGCACTTTATCTTTAGCATCATAACTTTGGTGGAGCCATGAGGGCATCATGCCTTTTTATGGGTTATTGTTATGTCTCCTTATTTTCTCTACATTCCTATGCCCTTTGTCTGGATTTTTCCTGATAACCTTCAAACCTAGTTCACAGCTGCACCTCCAAGGAATGTTCACTCTTCCAGGTCACCATTTCCTCCTCATTATTTAAGGCGTCCTTAACTTCTAGCTTGTCTTGAACACTATTGCCAATTTACTGAATATCAGATGTGTTTAGCATCAATTTTTTAAAACTTTTGCTTTCTATGATTCCAATTCATTGACCACTACAGAGAACAAAGAGACCTTTAAGATACCTTGCCCACCAAGTGGGCTTTATCCCAGGAACACAAGGATGGTTCAACATCAGAAAATCAATTAATGTAATCCATCACATCAACCGACAGAAGAATAAAAAACACATAATCATATCAATCGATGCGGAGAAGGCTTT